CGTGTCCCCTGGGGCTGGGGGCTGCCGGTGCTGAGGCTGACACTCCCCAGGCCTCATCGATGTGCACGTCCACCTCCGTGAGCCGGGCGGCACCCACAAGGAGGACTTTGCGTCGGGCACGGCAGCCGCCCTGGCTGGGGGCATCACCATGGTGTGTGCCATGCCCAACACCAACCCTGCAATCACCGACGCCGCCTCCTTTGCCCTGGCACAGAAGGTGAGGAGCTGCTGCCAGCCTGATGGTCACATCCCCTCCCTGGGCACTGCCATGCCAGCCGTGACGGTCCCACTGCCTGCAGTGGCCTTGCTTGCCCCTGGTGGGGCTGGCCCTGCCATGGTACCCACCACTTCACACCCCACAGCTGGCTGAGGCTGGGGCCCGCTGCGACTTCGCCCTCTTCTTGGGAGCTTCCTTGGAGAACGCTGGCACGCTGGGCCCCCTGGCTGGGGCAGCCGCTGGGCTCAAGATGTACCTGAATGACACCTTCTCCAGCCTGCGGATGGACGATGTGTCGCTGTGGATGGAGGTCAGCGGGCGGGGAGGGGCTGGCACGGGGCAGAGCCGCTCCCAGTGCTGGTGCCCACCGGCCCCATTTCCCCCCAGCACCTGGAGCAGTGGCCGCAGCACCTGCCTGTCGTGGCACACGCGGAGCGGCAGACGGTGGCCGCGGTGCTAATGGTGGCCCAGCTGTACCAGCGCCCTGTCCATATCTGTCACGTGGCCCGCAGGGAGGAGGTGAGCTGGGAGTCGGGACAGTGGGCTCCAAGGTCAGGGTGTGGGGCCCTTTGTGTTCCCCCTGCTAACTGCAGCTCCTCCAGATCCTCCTGATCAAGGCGGCCAAGCAGAGGGGGATCCCGGTGACATGTGAGGTGGCCCCGCACCACCTCTTCCTGAGCCAGGATGACCTGGGGCGCCTCGGGGAGGGTCGGGCAGCTGTGCGGCCAGTGCTGGGCACCCGCCAGGATGTGGAAGCGCTCTGGGAGAACATGGACACCATCGACTGCTTCGCCACAGACCACGGTGAGCCCTGGGGGACAGTGGCTGCGGGGCGGGGACAAGGGGTGGGGACAGCCCCTGGTGACCAGCCTTGTCCTGCAGCCCCCCACACATTGGAGGAAAAGCAGGGCCAGCAGCCGCCTCCTGGGTACCCTGGCCTGGAGACGATGCTGCCCCTGCTGCTGACGGCCGTCTCCGAGGGGCGGCTCAGCATGGAGGACATTGTCCAGCGCCTCTACGAAAACCCACGCAAGATCTTTGGGCTGCCAGCACAGGAGGACACCTATGTAGAGGTGGGTCCCTGCCCACCTGCCCCAGGTCTGATTCTGGCCCTGCTGCCTCTGACCCACTGTCCTGGCAGGTGGACCTGGAGCACGAGTGGGTCATCCCTGGCTGCACGGCCTTCTCCAAGGCCCGCTGGACCCCCTTTGAGGGCATGAAGGTGAAGGGGACGGTGCGCAGGGTGGTCCTGCGTGGGGAGGTTGCCTACATCGACGGGCAGGTAAGGCCCTGGGTCTGTTTTCCCTTGTGTTGTCAGGATCCCCAAGCACTGAAGGGGTCCCTCAGCACCAACCCCATCACCCCAAACCCCATCACCCCCGTGAATGCAGGTGCTGGTGCCCCCTGGCTATGGGCAAGACGTGAAGAAGTGGCCCTCAGGAGCTGTGGTGCCGCCACACGTGGCCCCTGCCAAGGACATTGTGAAGGTACTGGGATGCGTGGGGCTGGTGGGGGTGCCCGTCCACCCTGGCTCCAACGGGATCTCTCACTGCAGACCCCCGAGCAGCCCCGGCACAATGCAGCTGGTGAGACTCTGCGTGGACGAGCCCCCAGCCCCCGCCGGCCCGGCCCCATGGGCGACGCGCGCTTCCACCCCCCACCCCGCATCCACCGGGCCTCCGACCCTGGGCTGCCAGGTAGGGGGGCGGTGGCGGGGGCTGCAAGCGTGGCGGGGGATGCAGTGGGTGCGCTACCTGGGGCCGGGTCTGGGGCCGCGGACGGGCGGCCCCGCTGACGCCGGCCCTTGTGTCCCGTTCAGCGTTCCAGAGGCTGGGAGCCGCGCACCGCCCGGGCGCCCGAGGCACCGGTAATGATTGGGGGGGGGGACTCACTAATGGCACTAACTGCAGCCCATGAGTGCATCCCCTCCCCCAGGTGCCTTGCGGGCCCCGGGCTGCCCGCGCCGCCTACCGTGGGCCCGTTCCTGCACCCGGTGCTGGGCGCCACGGGGCAGGGCATGGCTGTGCCACCTGCTCTGCTCCCACCCTGGCCCACACAGCACCTCGGGGACCCCTCGCCTGCCAGTGTGATTGGGGGGTGGCCAATTGGGAATTGCAGGGTGCATGGGGAGAGGGGCGCAGCATGATGTGGGGCTTGGCCTGCCTGTCCTTGGGTGGCCTTCACCCTGGCAGTGGGCCCTGACGTGGTTTGTCTGGTGCTGCCGAGTGCCAGGAGGACTGTGCTGTACCAGCAGCACCCTGGGAGGACAGCAAGGCCCAGGGTGCCGCTGCTCCCCACACCCCCTAATGGCACCACTCCCCTCTTCTGCCCAGCTGAGGATGCCCGTGAGAAGTCCAGCAGGAAGGCAGCAGACCTAGGTGAGTGCAGAGGGGATCTAGGGGTCCACAGTGGGGGTCCCAGGCCTACAGCAGGTGGTTGGGCTCCCCTGGGCACCCCTGTGGGCTCACCAGCTGCTCTTGGTGCCCTAGATGCGGCGGCAATCCAGGACAGCCACTTCAACCCACTGGGCCCCCTGCCACGCCAGGCCTCTCCCCAGCGCTCCCCCCACGTCCAGACCTCCCCAATGCTGCACCCCCTCGCTGGGCATCTGCACCCCCTCATCGGGCAGCACATTCTCTCTGTCAGACAATTCTCCAAGAACCAGGTGCCTGGGTGGGTGGGCACAGGGACCAGGGGCCCATGGGAGCTGCGGTGCCTTCTGCACCCTGCGTCCCCTGAGCCACCTGTCCCCACAGCTGTCCCACCTGTTCAATGTGGCCCACGTCCTGCGCTTGCTGGTGCAGAAGGAGCGGAGCATTGACATCCTCAAGGTGAGCCGTGGCCCCCAGGCAGCCCAAGGGAGCCCTGTCCCAGATGGGGGTGTCCCGGGCTCCCCGAGGTGACAGCACGGCCCCTGCAGGGGAAGGTGATGGCGACCATGTTCTACGAAGCAAGCACAAGGACCAGCAGCTCCTTCGCAGCGGCCATGAGCCGGCTGGGTGGCTCCGTCCTGTCCTTCTCCGAGGCCACCTCCTCGGCGCAGAAGGGCGAGTCGCTGGCCGACTCCGTGCAGACCATGTGCTGCTACGCCGACGTGCTGGTGCTGCGGCACCCGCAGCCTGGCGCTGTCGAGGTGAGAGGGGCTGGGAGGGCTGGGGTGGCCGCATCCTGTCCTGGAGGTGCTGGGGGCTCTGTCCTGATGGGAGGACAGTGACCTGCACTATGGAGCAGGGACGTGGTCTCCAGCTGGGCAGGGGTCAGGTCCTGCCACCATGGGGCTGGTAGGGCCTGACCTCACCCCTGCACTCAACTCTGCCTGCCTTCACCCCCGCCTGCCCTGCCCGTGGTCCCAGCTGGCTGCCAGGCACTGCCGCAAGCCGGTGATCAACGCCGGGGATGGGGTGGGGGAACACCCCACACAGGCGCTGCTGGACATCTTCACCATCCGTGAGGAGCTGGGCACCGTCAATGGCATGACGGTAAGGTGTTGGGGCCGGGGGGCCAAGGGGCCCCATCTGGGCCCTGAGGGGGGCCGTGGCTAGGCTGACCTGACTGCTCTCCCCAGATCACCATGGTGGGCGACCTGAAGCACGGGCGCACAGTGCACTCCCTGGCCCGCCTGCTCACCCTGTACCGCATCAACCTGCGCTACGTGACCCCCCCCGGCCTCCGCATGCCTCCCGACATCACCAGCTATGTGGCCTCCAGGGGCATCAAGCAGGTGAGGAGTGGGATGGGGGGCTGGCCCCCTCAGCCCTGTGCCCCCCACCCTGCTGACAGTGCTGCCGCAGGAGGAGTTCGAGAGCATTGAGGAGGCGCTGCCAGACACGGACGTGCTCTACATGACCCGCATCCAGAAGGAACGCTTCGAACGGGCTGAGGAGTACGAGGCTGTGAGTGAGGGGACACCGGGTTCTGCTGCCCTTGGGGGGTGTGGGGGGTCCCCAACTGAGGGCTCTGTGTGTCCCCTCTCAGTGCTTTGGGCAGTTCATCCTCACGCCCCACATCATGACCCGTGCCAAGGAGAGGATGGTGGTGATGCATCCCCTGCCCCGTGTCAACGAGATCAGGTGGAGGGGGGGAGCAGGGGCAGGGGGGCTGCAGGGTATTGGGTGGTGGGAGGCTCAGAGTTAGTGTCTGGGGGAATGGGCTATGTAATATACTGGGCATGAGTGGGGTGTCGCAGGGCATGGGGAGTGTGGGGGTCTCTGGGGGATCTGGGTCTCTGGTGTTGTGGGGTCAGGGGTATGGGGACTGCAGTGTGCTGAGCGGGGTAGGGGGTCTTAGGGTGATGGGGGCTGTGGTTGCTTGGTGGGTTTGGAGGGAGACAGGGTCTGCGGTGTGCGGTGGGTCAGGGGTCCCGGTAGGGTGAGGGTTCAAGGTGGATCAGGGGTCCCCGGGGGGCGTCCGGGGTCCCAGCGGATCAGGGGTGCCGGTGGGGTCAGAGTCCCCGGTGGATCAGGGGTACCGGGGGGCGAGGGGTCCCAGGGTGGGATCAGGGATCTCGGGGGTCCCAGGGGCAAGTCAGGGTTCCGGGGTTGGCTCGGGGGTCCCGGTGGGTCGGGGGTCCCGGGGCGGTGCCCGCTGATGCCGTCCCTCCGCAGCGTGGAGGTGGACTCGGACCCTCGCGCCGCGTATTTCCGCCAGGCGGAGAACGGGATGTACATTCGGATGGCGCTGGTGGCCACCGTGCTGGGCCGCTACTGACCAATAAACGCTCCCGGTCGCGACACGACATCGCGCTGCGACTCGCGTCACGACATCGCGCCGCGACGCGCGGGCCATGGCGGCGCTGTGGAGGGGCTGCGGGCGGCTGCTGGCGCGGCACCCCGGGGCGGCACAGGCGCTCACCGCCGGTAAGGGACGGGCCCGGGCCCCGGGGCGGCACAGGCGCTCACCGCCGGTAAGGGACGGGCCCGGGCCCCGGGGCGGCACAGGCGCTCACCGCCGGTAAGGGACGGGCCCCGGCCCCGGGGCGGCACAGGCGCTCACCGCCGGTAAGGGACGGGCCTGGGCCCCGGCGCCTGCAGCGGCCGCACCAGCAGCCCCCCGGCTCGCAGCCCACCCCCGGCACACGGCGGGTGCTGCCGCGCCCCGCACTCAGCGGAGAGAGCAGGGACCACGCCGGGCTCTAGGGGAGTTATTGGGGGCCTAAGAAGGGGTCTTGCACGGTTCAAGGACTCGCTCCGCTCACCTCAGGCTCTGGGGAGAGGCTGCCTTGGGGGTTCTGCTCCCCCGGGAGGGGATGGGGTCTGGGCTTTGACCCTGTGGGTTCAGTGGGCTGCAGCCCCCGTTCAGGGGCACAGCACCCGCTGGGTGTGTGCCAGCACTCGGGTGAAGGCACACAGGTGCTGCCTGGGGAGGCTACCAGGGCCCTGTCCTGAATTTCCGTAACGGTGCTGCTTCTTATAGGGCTGGGAAGTGCCATAAATCTGCCCCAGCACTGGCCAGCAGCTCTGCTACCCCAGGGACTCATAGCCCTCAGCACCAGGCACCTTTGCCCCCTGCCACCTACTCCCCTTCTTGTCTTCCCCAATCCACCCGGGGCTGGGACTGTGGCTGGGTGGTGGGAGAGCCCATCCTGCCTGTGCAGCGTGTGCTCGGGGCCATGCAGGGGCTGTGTGGCACCTCTGGCTAGGAGTGGGGCATCCCTGTATGCTCCCTGCTTGCAGCCTCCTCCCCGTCCTGCTGTTCCCCCTGTCCTGCTGCTCCCAAGCCACCAGCCCAGAAGGCTGGGAAAGCATAACCCCGAGGTCAGGGGCAGGGCCTCCCCTCGCGGTGCAGCCACTTGGCCCTGCTGCCCCCAGTGCCCCCCTGCCCAGCTGCTGGGGCTCTGCCAGGCCCCCTCGCTGCTCCCGCTGTTACTTTTATGGGATGTGATGGAGTCTGTTGCTGGGTACTGCTGGCCGCATGTCCCCTGGTGCCTGGCGAGAGGCCATGGTGGAGCTGGGAGGGCTGCCCAGGGCCAGCCCTGCCCACGCCCCCCTGGCCCCCACCCACTGCTCTGCAGGCTTGGTGTGGCCCTGGGCTGGCTCCAGCTCCAGCCCTGCTCTGCCTGTTGCTGCTTTGTGTCAGAGCTGGCCCTGCCGTAGCACAGTCCCTCAGGGCCCCACCAGCCCCCAGGGGCACAGGGCTGTGCCATGGGGGGCACGGCTGCTCTGCAGGTGCTGGGCTGATGCTGGATGTGGTTCCCCTGGCCCACAAGAGGCTCTGCCCTTGGGCTGGACTCTCCCTGCCTGTGGCAGGTTCCCAGGCCCAGCTGAGGGGGCACGGCCATTCCCTCCAGGCTGGGGCAGAACTGCTGGGGTCAAGTGTTCCTGCTCTCAGCCCCCCATTCATGGCTGAGCTTGGCCCCTCTCTGCTGGCTGTGCTGTGGTCCATGCAGCTCCCGTGCTCTGGGCCGGACACATTCCAGCTTCCAACCCTGCTTTCCCTTGCTGCTTCCAGAGCCCCTGGCGCTGCCAGCTGGGGCTGGGCCAGGGAGCTGCTGGCAGTTGGCTGTACCTGCTGCATCCAGCTGTGCTCACCACCTGAGCTGCTGTCCGAGGACCATGGGGTTGGGCAGGGCTTTACCTCCTGCATCCTGGGCCCTGGGCCAGGCTGCCGACAGGGCCCGAGCACAGTGGGCAGCAGCACGTGCCCACAGCCGTGACCTTGCTGTCCCTCCCTGCCTGTGGAGAGCAGCCCCACACTCCTGCTGTGGTGATGCTGTGGGGGTATACACACGGTGCCCTACTTAGGTTCAGGCCCTGTTCAGAATCTTCTGGTTGTGGGAGCAACGACCTGGAGGTCAGCTGGGCACCCTGGCTCTGGGCTTGGCCTGGCTGCAGGCTCCAGTCCCGGACAACCGTGCCACCCTGGGTAAGCACTGGTGCCAAAGTTGTCATGAGGGGCTGAATCCGGCTGCACCCCAGGCCCAGGCAGAGACGGGTCTGTTCCCCCAGCACAGCTTTGTCACCGCTGGGCACCATGCCTGAAGCCTTCAGCACTGGATAAGTAACGGTAGTGCCATGGCTGCGTGTTCTCAATGAGTGTTGTGCCCTTGCACCCAGCTCCTGGGAATGCTACCTGTGGGAGCAGCCAGCACTCCGGCTGTGCTGGCCTGGAATCCTGCTCCTGCTGCCACCCTCTCCCCTGTGCTGCTGCAGCCCATGGGCTGGCAGGGCTGCCCTGCCATCATGGGTGAGTGCAGAGAGCTCTGGGCCAGGGGACAGAGCCCCAAATCCTGGGGCTGGTCCAAGGTGGGAGACGGAGCCTGTGAGGTGGCAGCAGGAGGTGCCTGGGGGCTCCATGGGGCTGCAGAGCCCAGGCTTGCCCTGCCCACGGGCTCTAGGGGTCACATGGCACTGTGCTGGGACAGGGAGCTGGGCCCTGGTCCCCCATGAACTGCTCATGGAGCCCTGGGGATAGGGCTGGCCCTGAGCTGGCCATGATAGGGGCTGCTGGGACAGGGGGTGCTGAGGCTGGTGATCCCCAGGCCAAGGGCTTGCTGGGCTCAGGGCTTCCGAGGACAGACCAGAGCAGCAGTGGGGCTGGAGACCTGCCTGGGAACTGTCCTGGGAGGAACGGGGGGAGTGAGCAGGAGCTGCCAGGGCCAGGGGGAGCAGCGCTGGGGCTGGGGGGCAGCTCCGGGCCAGCCAATGTGCGTCGAAGGGGTCAGGGGTGTCGAATGGAGCAAGAGCTGCCAGAGGCCCAGCCAGGCAGCACCCCACCGGGGACACTGATCTGGAAACAGGGCCAGGAAGCCGTGCCAGCAACCAGCCACAGTGAGGGGCTGGGGCAGCCCGGGCAGTGGGGAGCACATCCTGCGTATCCTGGCTGCTGGCAGGGGCACAGGCAGAGAATGGGTCTCCAGAGAGGGACTGCAGTCGGGAGAGCCTGCCCAGTGCACAGGGAGAGGTTTGGGAGAGGCTCAGGAGAGGCTGTGGTGGGGAGCACAGGCAGCAGCCAGGTGGACTGCCCTGAGAGCCCCAGGCACCGCAGGCCCTGGGTGGCGGGTGTAAATCAGTCTTTCACAACAGGTCAACCCTGTACCCGGGGCAGCAGGAGGAGGTACAGCCGGGCACCCTTTTGGCCAGAGATGCTGCAGTGTCCTGAGAGGCCCGAGGTGCTCAGCAGGGTTCAGTGCAGGCAGCGAGGGGCTGCAGCTGGGGTGGAGCTGGCAGGGCCAGATCAGGCTCAGGTGTCCCATGGCGGGGAAGCAGCAGCAGCAGTAGCACTGGGGCAGGGGGCCCGGCTGTGGGCAAGACATGTGGGGGTTTTGTCCACCTGAATGGGCTGTGCTGGTCGCAGGGGCCCTCATGGGAGCTGGGGATGTGATCGCACAGCAGCTGGTGGAGCGGCGGGGGCTGCATGGGCACCAGGGCACCCGCACCCTGAAAATGTTGGCCATTGGCTTCTGCTTTGTGGTGAGTGCCAGCACGGTAGGATGGGATGGGATCGGGGGCTCTTTTGTCAGGGTGAGGCCATGGTACCCCCCAGTGTGGGCTGGGACATCTTGGTGCCACCTCTGGGTAGGGCAGCTGTGGGCAGGGCTGGTTCCCTGGAACACAGCAGCACGGCCCAGGGGGAGGCAGGACAAGTCCATCCCGGTGGTCTTGGGCCCATATAAGCAGCTCTGGAGCCCCCTTGGCTAGTGAGGGTAGGTGCTACTCCTCACCTCTGGCTCCTGCAGGGCCCTGTTGTGGGCAGCTGGTACAGGATCCTGGATCGGCTCATCCCGGGGAACACAAGAGTCGTGGCTGTGAAGAAGATGGTTCTGGACCAGGTTGGTGTGATGTGGGTGAGGGTGTCACATAGGGCTGGAGCAGCAGGATGGGGTGATGGGTGCAGCCATATTCCTGTGGCAGATTTCCATCTCATTCCATGAACACCTGTGCCTGAGCCGAGCCAAGCCCCACCGTGGTGGAGGGTTGGGGTGGGCAGGGTGGCAGGGGCTGCCCGTGACCAGCCCAGCTCCAAGTACCACAAGCCCCTCGGCATCAGCCCCAGCTCCTTCTCTCACAGGGGGGGTTCGCACCGTGTTTCCTTGGCTGCTTCCTGGCCATCACGGGGGCCACGAACGGGCTGTCAGTGCAGGATAACTGGTCCAAGATTCAGCAGGTATGTGCTGCTGCCCTGGAGTGGATGGGGGGGCCTTGGGCAACTGGGCAGGCCCTGGCAGCTCCTCCCAGTGCACTGGCGCTGGCTGCTGCTCCCATTTGTGGCTGTTCCCACACCCAGGCCGTGGGTCTGAGGGCCCTGGGGGCATCAGGTGCCTGGTGCTGCCAGCTCTCCAGATTCTGGCACTGTGGCCGTTCCTGTGATGTGGCACCAGGGTCTCACCTGTGCTGGGCACAGCTACCATGGGCTCCTGCATGCCATCCAGCCCTGCTCCTGGCTGGCTCCCATTAGCACTGATTGTTGGAAACCAGTGGGAGTGCTGAGTCAGCATGTCCAGAGTGAGTCACTGGGGAGTGGGTGCCCACATACCATGGGATGAGGTTCGCTGGGGTGATCACCTGGCTGCTGGGGGCGGCAGCAGCAGCGTCATGCACCACTGCCAGGGCTGCATGTGAAGGGTCCCAGCCCAGCCAGACCCACTGGCTTGGGATGCATCTCTGCTGTGGCCAGGTGCCATGCTGTTATCCAGAGCTCGTTCCTCAGTGGGGTGCCACCCCCAGGCACCAGCCTGCTGCCTGCTGGGCTGCCAGTGTGTGCCCCTCATCTCCCCCGGGGTGCAGGGAGCAGGTCCTGGGGCAGGATTGTGTCACCTCTGCTTTCTCCAAGCTCTGCACGAGCCACAGCCAGGGTATGTGGTGCTCCAAGGCACCCCAGAGACACATGTGGAGAGGTCCTGACTACAGGCAGCACCCCACGAGTTCTTGTCCATCCATTCCTGATGCATCCTGACCAGCTGGTGCCATGGATCTTGCCTCACCTCCCCCAGAGCATCCCACCATGGTGGGTGATTCCCGCAGGCTGTAGCTCCCAACTGCCATGGAGGGGGGGTGTCTCGGCAACGGTGCTGGCAGCACCTTCACCCCTGGCTTGGGGCACATCCGCTTTTCCCCCACGCAGAGGAAGCGTCAGCAGAGCATCCATCACCCTGTGCCTGCTCGCCCCGTCCTGGGCTGTCAGCCAGCACCAGGAGGAGCCCGGGCTCCTGGCTGAGTCACGGCCAGGCTGGATGAGGGACTCGTCCTGCTGCCGTGGGGCAGGGATGCGGCACGGCCACGGCTGCAGCACGAGGACAGAAAGGACAGCACCTCGGGCTCCCAGGGTGGATACCCTGGCTCAGTGCCCTTCTCCATCCCTGCCTCAGGATGCCTGGGAGGGGCCTGGGGGGGTGCGGGGCTGAATAGGGGCTTACAGCCCACACCGGGGAGAGGAGCTGCCTGCCCTGGCTGTGGCAAAGAGGGTTCTCAGTGGGGAGAGGGTGGTTGTGGCTGCCCTGTCCCCATCACCCCCGTGGGCACAGCTGTGGGAGACATGGAGAGAGCTGTGGGGGCTCTGTGTGCCATAGTGGGGATTGGGGCCCTCTGCTTGCTCAGACCTCGTTTCTCTTGCAGGACTACACAGATGCCCTGATGACCAACTACTGTGTGAGTGCTGGCGGGTACCTGTGTCCCTACCCCATCCCCGAGTGCCAGGCAAGGGTGGGTGCGGGGCACAGACGCTGGCAGGGCCCCTCACTGCTCTCCCCTTCTCTGCCCAGATCTGGCCACCCGTGCAGATTGCAAACTTCTACTTCGTGCCCCTGCAGCACAGGTAGTGTTGTGGCTCTGGCCCCCAGCCCCTGGCCTCCTGACCCAGCGGCTGAGGATCCTGTCCCCTCTGTCCCCAGGCTGGCTGTTGTCCAGTGCGTTGCCATCGTCTGGAACTGCTACCTCTCCTGGAAAGCAAATCAGATGTGAGGCAGAAGCCGTGTCCCACCCCTGTCCCCAACCTGTGTGCTGCCTGGCCCTGCCGCACCTCTGGAGCCCTCTGAGTGGGTGCCTGTGGCTGTGGCCAGGCTGAAACAGGCAGGGTGCTGGCAGCAGCTGTCCCGCTCTGTCCTTGGGGAGACACCATCCCCACAGCCCCCACTGCCCCAGGGACACAGTGGGGAGAAGATGGTGACAGGTCACCCCAAGACAGGCCTGGAGTGGCTCTGGCTCCAGCTCCGGCTCCAGCTCTGTCTGTGCCGGGTGGCAGCTCTGCCTGCAACGTGTTTCTCCATCATGCTCAATAATCTCCAGGCCCCTGCCTGCACAGAGGCCTCGTGCCCCACGCATCACTCTGCCCTTCCCCATGGCACAGCCCTGGAGGAAGGAGGAGCGGGAGTGCCGCTGGGCCAGGGCTGGCCCAGAGCTGGCAGTACCATGGGCACAGAGCTGGGGTCACTGCAGTCTAGGGGTGCTTCCCCTAAAAACGGGGTTTGCTGTGGCTCCAATAAATGGTATTTTCCACTCTTGGTTCTGTGGCACTCGCGCTCGTGGCCTGGCAATCACTTGGGGCCATGCCAAAGCAGTTCCAGAGTGGCCATTCCTGTGTTATAGATCAACAGTTCCACTGTGCCTTGTCCCAGGGCACTGAGTGTGGGGCTTTGGACTGCGGGCTGATGGGGTGAACTGCCCCACTGGTTGGGTGAGGAGAGGGGGCTCTGGCAGAGGGTGGATTGTGGCTTAGGGGATCTCCAGCTCCCACTGCAGCTGTTCCATGGGCTGTGACAGTGCCCTCACTGCTACAGAACAGTGGGATGAGGTGAGTGGTGCCAGGGTTCCAGTGCTGGGTGCAGAGTCCCCCCAGGGTCAAGGTGTGCTCAGTGCAGGGCTGTGCATCCAGAGAGGCTGTGGGAAGGGTGGGCAGTAGGGCTGAAGCTGGGGCTAGGACAGCGCCCAGCTGTGCCATGTCTGAGACAAGCCTGCGTGTCCTGTCAGTGAGGAGCCTCACAGGGCTGCCACCACCAGCACTGCTGCCCTGTGTGGATGTGTGTCCATGCTCACCTTACACCAGCAGTGAGCAGACATGACGCAGCTCACACAGCACATCCCAACCAGGAGCTCCGAGTGGAGCTGGTGAGACCACGATGGGTCACCCCACCCCTGCAGGGCCTTGAGCCCCAGCCCCCTTGGTTACACTGTGGCAGCCCCACGTAGCTGGATGGAGCCATTCCCTTGTTGCTGGCACTGGCTGGGTTCTGTGGGCTGCTGGCATGGTCCTTACCATCTGTCCTTCCTCCCTCACCTTCACACTCCTGCCCTGGGCTGGCCCTGGGCCGGCCCTGGGCTGGCCCAGGCCTTGGGACCACTCTGGGCAGGTGAGTACAACCTGAAACATGGAGGAGCCAAATTCTGCTCTGGACCCTATGCACCCACTGGGGATGGGGCCACAGAGCTCACCCAGCTGCTGGCCCTTTCCTGAGGGGTGAGGGATGGAAAGGGGTTATTGCAGCTGCCCCCAGCAGTGCTCGGTAGAGCAACACGGGGCTGGGACCAGGTGATTTTGCAGCCCCAAGGAACTGAGTCTTGGAGCTCTGTCTGGGGGTACAGGAGGCTCTGGAGTGTCAGCAGTGAGTGAGCTGCAAGCGTGGCATGAGCCATGTGGCATGAGCCACTTATCCCCAGGAGTAGCTGCCCCACGGCATGGGGCTACCAAGGCTTGGAGGGCTGAGCCCAGCCCCTGCTGAGGGCTCTGCCCTGCCACTGTGGGAAGCGGTGCTGGGTGCCAGCCTTCACGCCAGATCACGTCACGGGGGCATGGCACTGTGTACTGCCTTGCTGTGGACAGGGTTGTGCCCCACTGCCCCTGTGCCACCTGGTGTCAGACACACCATGCAAGGGGCCAGACTGAACCTCTGTCCCTAGATCCGCCCAGCACTGGCACTGTGGAAGGAGCCCAATCTGGGCCTAGCTGGGCACCTGCACCAACAGCAGTTCTGGGTGTTGCTTGTCTGCAGTTGGGGTTAGGGGATCTGCACTTGGGGGTCTGCTGGCAGTGGTGTGGTGCACTTGGGGGTCTGCCAGCAGCAGTGAGAAGCACTCGGTGGTCTGCCAGCAGTGTGTGGTGCACTCAGGGGGCCTGCCAGCAGTGATGTGAAGCACTAGCAGCCACCTCACCGTTTGGCAGCGGTGCTGGTGCCCCATCGGAACACCCTGCATCCAGCACGGCGCTGCCGACTCCGGTGTCTCTGCTCTATGACTCACAGAACTTGGCCGATGCTGCCGCTGCGCTTTGGGGTGTCTGCAGCTCCGGCCCCGCGGTTTGACCTCGGCACCACCCGCTCTGCCCGGGGCACGGGGCCACAGCCAGGCTGCGGGTCCCTCATCCATGACCGTCCTGTCCTGAAGTTGCTGGTGCCCGGGGTGTCCCCCCCTCACGCCCAGGGATCCCCTTGCGGCCGCCCACGTTCCCTGCTCAGGACGCCGCTGTTTGAGGCGGTTGCTCTGCCCGGCTACGCGGCCGTCCTTCGGCGAGGAGGCGCGGCTCAGCCCAACACAGCTCACCGGGATCTCACCGGGAGCTCACCGGTACAGCTCACCGGGAGCTCACCGGTACAGCTCACCGGTACATCTCAACGGCCCAGCCCGGACGTTCAGCACCGTGGACAGCGGCGGAGAAAGGGGCTGGCGGGGGACAGCAGAGCCGGGAGAGGGAGCGAGGGAACAGGGGGGCCGGGGGAGCGGGGGGCAGCACGACCCAAGGCACCTGCTGGCACCGACCGCTGTCCCGCCCAGCCCCTCTGTCGGGCACTGGAACGGAACCGGACCGGCGGCCTCCGACACCGCGGAGAGCACGGTCTGCCCCGCCGTCCCGCTGCCCCTCAGCCCCTTCCAGCCTCCAGGGACCCGCTCCCCGCCGCCCCCGTGCCCCTCGCTCCCGCCCCCCGCCTCCCGGTGCGTGCCTGGCGCTGACGTCAGCCCGGGCTCCGGGGCCGATATAACCCCCGGCCGCGCCGCCGGCTCAGCTCCCGCGGGACGGACCGTGCTGTCTCTGCCGCCAGCACCGGCAGCAATAGGGAACGGGCACAGCGCACCGGGTACGGGACGGGGCTTGGGCACTGGGCGGGGACAGTGCCGGGCCGGGGCCGGGAAGGCGCAGCGGGGATGGGACGGGGCGGCCGGGCGGGATGGGGGCACTGCGCCCGAGGCGGTCCCCGCGCCGCAGGGGACGCGATTCCTGTCGAGCCCCCACAGCCGCCTCGGTCTCTACCGTGGCGCTGAGTCCTCGGACTCGCAGGTTCGGAGGGACCGAGGATGCGACGGGCGCTGCTCACCCTCCTGCTGCTGCTCGCCCGCCCGCCGCCCGTCGCCGCCCTCCCCGCCACCACCGACGGCTCCGTCCCGGCGGCCGGGATCGGGGCTCGGGACCGCCCGCTCTGGCCGCCGCTGGCACCGCCGGCCTTGGGGCCGTGGAGAGGGCGGCGGGACGAGCCGCCACTTTCCATCGACCTCACCTTCCACCTCCTGCGGCATCTCCTGCTCCTCGCCCGCGCCCAGAGCCAGCGCGCCCGCGCCGACTCCAACCGCCGCATCCTCGACGCCGTGGGGCGCTGATCCTCCCTCCGGGACCGCCGGACCCCCCGGGAACCCCCGTAACCCCGGGTCTGCACCGGCCTCTGGCCACCGCCTCGGCCTCTGCGCTGTGGGGCGCCCGGCGCCTCACCGGCAAACGCACCCACACCGGCACCGGCTGCACCCTCCTTAGCCCCGGCGCTGGGGCGAGTGGGAGCGGAACCGGCCCCGGAACGGTCCTGCACCGATTTGGTAATAAAACGTGGTGGAAACCCGAGGCGTGAGCAAGTGCGAGGTGGGGGCAGCTGGGGCTGTGCTGGGCCAGGGGCTGGAAAACTGGGAACGGGCTCACTGGGAATGGGAAATGGATTCACCAGGTATGGGGAATGGACTCACAGAGGGTGGGGAATGGGCTCACCAGGAACAGGTAATGGGGGAATAGGCTCACCAGGCATGAGGAAGCAGCTTACCAGGAATGGGGAAAGACTCATTTGAAGTGGGGGGATGAGTTCACCAGGAATGGGGGAACAGGCTCAGTGGGAATGGGGAATAGGCTCACTGTGAATGGAGAAAGGGCCCACCAGGAACAGGGAACAGGATAAGCTGGGCTGGGACTGGGTGGCAGCAGCTGGGTTGGCAGCACAAACCCACCAGCACTGGGGATGGGGCTGCCTGTGTTCCCGGGTCAGGGTGTGACACACTGTGGTCTCTGGGGAGAGAAGATGCTCCCAGACCCTTAGGTGTGATAGCAGTGTGAAGCAGAGGGCACAGAGTGATGGGAACAGCAGGTCCTCATCACCAGTGAGCTGGGCACAGTGGGTGCACCCACCTGTGGGCCGGTAAGGATGTGTGTGGGTAAAGCAGACCCACCCTGGGATGGCTGGTGGGGCTGGGGGAGGGACAGACACAGGCCTTTCTTGGGGGCACATGGCCACCCATTCAGGAGCATCAGGGGTGGGGGGCACCTCTGTGGGACACACGGTCCTGCTGAGTGGGTCAAGACTGGAGCCACGGGCAGGGAGGGGTACACTGTGGTGGGCTGTGTTTCAGTCCCCCAACCAAGAGGACAGGGATGAATTAAGCCTTCTGAGGCAGCTGGGGGAGGTTCAGCCTCCCTGTGGGTGGCCCTGGTCCTCGTGGGGGCCTCCAGCCCTGTCTGTGGAAGCTGTCCCTGCCTGTGGTAGTGGGTGGGACTGGGTGGTCCCTTCCCATCTCAACCAGCTGGAAATTCTGTGGTAACATCCCAGTATGTGCTGGAGGTGCATTGTGTCAGGGTTGGAGCAGGGAGGAGTGTTTTTAAGAGGGGTGCCTCAGAAGGACTGCTTGAGGATGTGATGGCAGTGGAGGTCAGTGCCCAGGGCAGGCAGGAGAGCAGGCAGGGGGTACAGCCCCTGGATTTTGAGTGAACCGCTTTCAGTGACCGGATGGCTCTGGTAGGAGGCAGCTTCAAGGGATGAGGGAGCTGAGGAATGCTGGGAGGCCTTTGGGAATAAGCTTGAGGCTTGGTTGTGATTGAAAAGGACCTGGGAAGATCCTTCACTCCTGCCCCTACTCCAGCTGCTTGTGCTGTGTCCACTGGGGCTTGAAAGGGCAAATCAAATTCCACCATGGCATGAGGACCCTGGTGCTGGAAGGCCATGCAAGAAGGATTGTACTGGGACAATTACTCCTTGGAGATATTCACGCTGGATGGGACACTGATCTGGACACTCCAGCCAACCCTGATGGACTGGGTATGGGAGAGCTCTAGGGACCTCTTACCCCTCACACAGCCCTTGGCAGCTTCCCAGCTGGTGGAGCCACAATGCCTCTGGGCAGCCTATTCCAGATAACCTGTGTGATCTGCTTCACTGCAAAAATGCCCCAAACCTTTGCAGGCCAGTTTGTGCCAATTGCTTCTGGTCCTTTCATGGGGATCCACTGGGAAGAGCCTGGTTCCCTCTTTCTTCCCTCCCATCAGGCAAGTATATACATGGATTCAATCCCCTAAACTATCCCAGCCCCTTCTTTTGCAGCGGATGCTCCAGTCCCTTTGGCATCACTGGGACCCTTCCCTGGGCTGCAGAGGTCACATCCTCCTCACCCAGGGAAGCCCCAGCCTGGCCAGATGCTGCATCCACTGCCCCTCCTTTGTGGATCCACCCACGCAGGGAGCTGTTGCTCACCTGGATCTGCTGGGAAAGGATGCCACTGCCACCTCCCCAGCTCAGTGCCACCACTGAGGATTTCGCTGTCCTTCGTGTCCCTCAGCAGCTGCAGCTGGACAGTTGTGATTAAGCAATAACACCAT